GCAACAATTTATTGGCAGCCATAGATTTAGAGATTTAAGGCGTATCTACCCAGGGAAATTAGTACTTAGAAGGAAGGGTGTGGATTTTTAATGTGATCATTTTTGTGTGCTAACTCCCTGAGATATTTTTAATGTATGCTAAAACTGTAACAGTTTAAAATAATGTAACTTTGGAAGTGGAATATGTTACTTCACTTCTAGGGCATAGGAAAGAGGGAGTTACATGGGGTAATGTGCTATGAGTTCACATTACTGCACATTCACAGTTACTGCAGACTAACTACTTTATGTAACAACTTTACGTTAGACCTTTTGATTTTAAGTATAAGTTTAGACACTGGAAAACAGCCAGAAGACATATCTGTGCATCTGCTGCTGGTCTGATATTCACATCTTGAGAAGTACCATCCAACCAGCTGACATCATTAGCATATGTATGCCGCCTTCTTTCCCCTTCCCAAATGTGCAGGCCTGTAAATCACAGCAAGCTGAAATTCTCATCTCCTTCATGCAATTTGAAATCCTGAAATCGCCACCTCTCTTCTTTTTGTCCACACAACCATTAGGTAAAGGCAGCAATGCTCAGAAGTATGGTTAGTAGCATGATCCAGTTCCCAGGCTACAGTCAGTGCTTGGAGGGTAAAGATCCAGTGCCATTCGTTGACCAAAGATGGAGTGGGAGTGCTCAGCAGCGCCTGCAGGCTCTTTATCAGCTTGCTATGTAAGTGTTCCATGGTTGGATAATTTAAAACAAACATACAAACAAAACCAACAAAACCCCATGTGTGCTGAAGTGGAGATGACTGCAATTTGCTCCTACTTATATTTCCCTTGAAATTAAGAGATTGCAGCTGTTGTGGAGTATGGTTGCCCATCTGTTTCTTACAGGGTGGATATTGCACATTCCTTCCTCCCTGTGCTGTCTGCTTTGCAGTGGTTGCCAGGAAAGAGCAGAGAGTTATGTCAATCTCTTACACATCAGATAAGTTATGAAGACTTCAGTGACTCATGTGTGTTACTTCAGTGGGAGTTGTTTCCTTTTAGTTCTCTGCAGTTGCAGCTGGTTAGACTGCTTTTGCTGCTCATTCAGGAGTGTATGAGGCCTGAACCAGGACATGACATCTTTAGTGCAGGAGTTTTTGAATTGAACTTTCACCATGGCTTTGGGCTTCTCATTCAGAAAATAATTTTTTTTGAAAGTTTCTGTGTTTTGCCACAAAGTGCATTGTTTAGAGTCTTCTTGTAGCTGCATTCAAGACTGTAGCCCACAGCCTAGGTAGTTGTTTTCAGAGGTTTTTTCTGCATTAACAAGCAAAATTAGGCCATGGGCTTTTCATAACGTGCATGCTCTGGGGTTGCTGGTAACTGAGTTTTACCACATGCCAGACAGTAATCAGATGTTTTAAGAGTGATACAGCACATTTCACACCTAGTTTTGTTAATTTTCAAAAGTATATTATTCTCACTTCCATAATAAAATAAGAATATTGGAGCCTTTTTTTTTTTTTCCACATTATAATATTCAGCAGTTAAAAATGTCCTGATCACATGAAAGCCTCAGTGGCTTCTTATATTTTGCCCATTATTCTGTAACAAGAACTTATCTGATTCCTGGACTGCTTTAAAACTGATTTATATTTCGACAAAAAAGAATTTGCAAAGAATATTGCAATTAACAAAAAAATGAGAAATACATCCCCTCTGTTTCAACCTGCACTGATTGGCAGTGTTGCTGATGCAGAAGACAGAATATTTCCCAGCTGTCTTCTCAGTACTTGCATTGCCTCTGCAAGGTTACCAGGAATAAAAGCTCATTTATTTTGGCAAAGTCAGCAAATATAAGTCAAGGGCATGCATGAGGCAGGATCTGTGGAATAAAAGGGGCTATTTCACCAGGTTCCCATTGTGCCTATAACTATACCATAATAGGATGAGCAGCTTATGCTAATAAAGTTAGATCATAAGAATAAGTGCCCACCTGTGCTGAATGAAACACAGATCCATCTGGATGGATCAACAGTCAGATGTGTAGAGAGTCAGCTTGTGGAACTAGCCATCAGCTCAATTACTCATTTGAATTACAAACACAACTTCACAATAATAGGTTGATTAGTGCTGAGTAAGTATCTCAGGTTACTGCACTGCATCTGGAAACCTTCCCCTCTCTTGTTACATGATATGACTGAAAGTGCTCTGAACAGATGACTTTAAACTTACCTTGGCAGTAAATTGTATGTCATGGGAGGTTAGTGAAGCATCTCACTATAGCCTTTGCTGTAGTGGGTAGCCATACTGTGGCTCCCCAGCTTCCACAGTGCAGCTTGCAGGGCTTAGCTGGGGTCTTTGAAGACAACTGCTCTCAACATGCAATCCTATGTTTTGACCCCAGCTGTCAAGCAATGATACGTATTCTTAACTGTAGCTCTGTAAATATGCTTCTGTTTAAAATCAGGCAGCAGCAACAAGCTCCAGCATCCACAATCCCATACATCTGAGATCGGGATTCTTACAAGTTGCCAAAAAGGGTCTTATGAAAAACATGACCTTCAGGACTTTAAGGAAATTATTTACCTTAATGGCATGACCTGGGAAACTTTTTTTTTAAAAGAAGTTCCATCTCTTGTCCAGTGTAAAACTGTGGTATAAGGTTTTTGTGAAATCAAATAGTGTTCATGATGCATAGCTTTCAAATGACTCGTTTATACCCATTCTGTCACTCTCTGCCTTAATGAGATCTACCTTATTGTCCTCCAAAGTTTTAAAATTAAAAGAAAAACCCTCTAGGATATCATAATGAATAATTTAAGCAGTCTGCCTACTTTAAATTCAAAATAGGGACAAAACCCAAGAATATTCTTGTAAAAGAGACACTTGTTCCAGCATAGGTTTTGAAACATTCACATGGTCAGCCTAATTTTTCTCCTCTATCGGAGAATTCAAATTGAAATTGCTGATTCTAAAATTTTCCACATTTGCTCAAAATCTCTTTAGCTGTTTTTGAAAGGTCTTTACCTTTGTTCCTCATACTCTTTTACACATGCTACATGTTATGGAAAGTTTTTCACTCTTATTAAAATGAGCTTGCTCCCTCCTCTACCAGTAAAAGTTTACTTCACAAGCAAGTCACCAATTTTGTTCTTGACAAGTACATAAGAAAGTGTTATTAAAGGCAGCAAATGACCATTTCTTGTGCAGAGATTGTGGGGGAATATACATAAAACATCAAACTGTCTTGCTACGTATGTATGTATGAAAAAAGCAAAATATAATTGCTTGTATAAATGTGAGGGTTTGAGGGTTTTGTGGACTTTGTAGTGTGTATGTTTGATTGTCCAACCAGAGAAGCATAGAGAGAGAAGGAAATTAAAAAAAAAAAAACAAACACATAAGAAAAAGAGATCAGAACTGCTCTGAATGTATTTTTTAATGATAGTAAGGAATGCTGTATGTTGGCTTTTAGGGCTCAACCTTCTCTTCAAATGCCTCAAATTGTGTATGAAGATCCTGACGTTTATGGAAGGAATCGCTACAAGTATTTTGCACGGTAGGGAGTGAACTGATTTGAAAGAGAGCTGAGAAGCTTGCTTTTGTGTAGTTTAAAGAGCCTCTCTCTCTCTCTTTCTATACATATATATATATGTATATATATGCCAGAGCCTTATTTTTTGTCTTTTCTGCTAATTCTGTGGTCACTGCTATATAAAATTTAAATAGTAACCAAATCTTATATCACAAAGTCTTTCAAAATTCACACTATGTCAGAATTTTCAGGTAATGTGTTAGCACTTAAGCAAATGTACCAGGCATTCTGTACTTTATTGTTTTTAGAAAGCTTTGGGCTATAGATCCTCTGACACAAAGGGAGATGCTCACAAAACCATGTGATTCTCCAGACTCCTGGAAAGGTGCCTTCTTACTCCCAGTTTCTGGAAGGAGCAGAAAGGGACAAAAAGGAATCCTTCATTAACTTTTCAACAATGTCCTCCACTTCAGGACTGCTCTGCTCTTTCCAGAATGACAGTCCATTGCATGTCAGTAATGGACTCAAGTTCTAAACCAATAGCTGGTATGCAAACATTCTCATTTTAGTCACATACACTCTGAATTACATTCACTATTACAGTCAGTAGCTACTGGCCAGTATGTCCACTTCAAATATAAAAAAATTGCCAAGTTGAAGAAATTTAACATTTGTGGCTCCTTTAACAGCAAAAAGAGGATAAAAATTATTCTGTCTTCTTCAGTTTGAAATTAAGCTTTAAAGTCTCTCAAAGGCTAAGGGAAATGGATAATGAACTGAAATATGCAAACAGTAAAAATGTCTGGGAAGGAATTATTAATATGTTGTTGAGCCCATACCACTTTCAAGATACTTCATTAAATACTGCAAAAAAAGGAAACAATCATATTAGATAAGTCCAAAACACCTTACCAGCTGATTGTAGGAATTAATTTCAGGATTTCAAGAAGTTATTAAACAAACTTCCAAAAGCTCAAAGTGAAAAAAGTCAACTAATTTGTGAAACAAAAAAAAATGTTGGGAGCACACTCAAAACCAACTTATTTTGATTATTGTTTTGATTTGCAGTTCCACTTTCTGCTTTGACAGAAGAATAACACTCACTCCTACTAGTGAAAGTTTCTCTGTTGTTCCTGAGCTATGAAAGAATTGCTTAATATTCAGGCACAATTTTTAAATATGGAAGTACAGAACCTGAGTTGTCTAAAATCAGTCTAGCCCTATAGAAAGTAGTGGACTGTAGCTTTCATAAACCATGGTGATCTTTTAAGCTTATGGTTATTGTCTTATATCTGCATTTTCCTCTTTTCAGACCTCTCACCTCTTGTAATAAGCTGCTTCCACTAAATGGTACTTACGGAATGGCAAAGTAAGTATTGAGTTCTGGAATAATACAGATATAATGGGCCCCTTCTCACCAGAAGAAGATGGGGTAACTATTTAGTGGTTGACCAACAGGAAAAACTTGTTTAGAGGTAAGGAAGAATTTATTCACCATTGAGAATTCCTAAGCAAACAAATGACTGACTGGATAAGCACTTGCTTGCAGTAAGTAGTGCTTTGTGGGTAAAGGACATGTGCCTCAAAATGTGTTATGATTATGAAGGCTGAAACAGAAAGCTAAGTGTCTGAATCGTAGAAGAGGTGCCAATACAAAGAAGATTCTCCAATACAGCAATTTTGTTGGAAAATATTCTGATATTCTATTACAATCTCTGTGATAGTTCAGTGGTGTACTGCATCCACAAAGTAGTCTAATGTGGTTTTCAGTGAGGATCAAATTTTGAGGGGACAATTTCCTACTAGAGTCATTGGAAGTTGCACATGCTTACATCAGAATTGAATTTTTGTTCTGGAAATGTTGGGAAGATGAATGTGTAAGATAAATTGAAGCATCCCTACTTCTTTTTACCCTCAACTATTACTTACCTTTTGTGTCCATTAAAAGTAATGCTTTATAATGGATACATAGGCAAAATTTGCATGTGATAACTTGTGAGAGCTGAAACCAGAAGATTTCTGGATTGCTTGCCTAAGGAGGGAGGCTTCAGGAGGGCTACGTGTAGTCTCAGTCTACTTTTATTAAACACGATGGAGTTAACATCAATGGGAGCAATATTAAGACAAAACAAAGCACATTTGGATATGTAACTTTGACTTACTGTTGTGTTTCTCTTTTTCTGTTCTAAATGAACATGATAAATTTTCTTCATCTTGCATCTCTTTTTAGGACAGAGTCCTCTGTCAATTCAGCTGCAAGAGACAGCAAGGTCTTTGGTCCCAAGTCACGAACTTTGGGCACACAAACGGATTACAGGGATGGTGAAACACAGACAGATCCCTATTCCCCTGAATATGTAATTTCTGGTGGCTCAATCCCTGAACTTCTGACACTTGTTACTCTCACTTGGGGTGAGTTGAAAAATCAAGATAAATGTTAATAATAATTTCCCCTCTTTAGCAGGAGGTTCTTTTTTCTCAGTGTCAGGTTTTGGCAGCCCTTTGTTCTCTTCCTTTTGGTGCACTGATCTATTTTTGAAATAGGTCTGACATTTACCTACTTAATACTGCTACTCTGGAGTGGTTTAAAAAAGTTGTGAACTCATTCAATATAAAAAGGTCAAATGTTTTACAAATATTAACTAGTTGCAGTTTTTCCATTTAGCTGCTGTTCTTCAGCTGTTCTGAGTTAGTAAAAAACCAGTATGAGCACTGCTGCTCCAGAATACATCTGTGATCATCATCTCCCAGCGTCACATCTGCAATAGAGATGGACACAGGACATGCCAAAGAAAATGCTCATTCTAGAAGGTGTCTTCTTGGAAAGGTTTTTCCTCTTTTGCAGCCTGCAGCAGAGGAATTAAATATGAGTATTAATGTCAACTAAGCTATAAGCAACTGCAAGTTCTACCTTTCTTCATACTGTTGAATTTTACTGGCCTTAGAAGTATTTACTTCTGGCTACTGTCAGTTCTGCTTGTGTTTCACATAGGGGCTTTTGCCCATCAAGCCTTCTGATACTTTTTGGTAGTGTTTATTTGCTGGATTCACTGTTCTCCTAAAGAGGTTCTTGTCCCTGTAAGGTCGGGGGCTGCCAGCAGGACTAGCTGAGGTGGAGATGATTGAACGTGCCCGGGAAAAACGTGCATGGGAAGCAACTCTTCCGGCCCTGGACAGTCCCTCAAATATTGTGAAGAGGAGGAAAATGATGGAAGAAATGGAGAGGAAGGAGTGGGCCTTTAGAGAACAGGAAATAGAAGAGTAGGAGTCCGATTGTACTTTTAATTTCTTTTATTTCATTTTTGTTAGCTGAATAGAGGACTAAAAAGGTTTAAGGGATTGGCTGGAGGGTACAAGCTTTTTATTTCTGAAAAAATCTCCTGCTTTTGGGATGGGATATTATAGTTAATTTTAAAATAAGGGACTGCTACCACAATACTTTCCAGTAGTGCTAAACTCACTTTTTAAAATGAAAAATTAAATCTCAGATATGCAATATGAACTATGTGTAAATCAGTCAGTTGCCATGTAGGATTTGATGATGACAGCATTGAACAGAACACAGTAGGTCATACCTGTCCTTTCAGGTTGCAGGAGTTAAGACTGGAAATCTTTAAGAAGCTGCTGTGGAGGCGAGAGCAGAATCAGAATGAGCTGCGTGACAAGCGCTTGGAAGATCTCCGGCAAAATCATCAGAAGGCCAAGGAGGAGAAAATGAAAAAGATTCAGCATGAATATGCACTGAGTAAGTTTGAAAGACAGGGAGAGAGCAGTTTGAGACAGTTTTCACACAAGGCTGCAGTCTTTATTCACCTTCAAACTGGTTGCATCGGCCATATAAATCTGAGTGGGCAGCATTTGTTCTGGTCAAGCAGGTCATGTTTTTATGTTGACTAGCAAAAACTCATGTGAATTTCCAAAGATACGGCTTTTTTTGGACTATTTGTATGAAGAACCTTCTCACATTTGTATTTCCTTTTCAGTGCTCAGGAAACTGGTAGCTAAGAGGAAGAATTTGATGGGGAAGCTGGAGAGACGAGATATCATCAAAGAATATACTGACTTGGCATCACAAACGTATGCTCCTTTGTCTAGAAATGGTTATTTCCCAGACAACCATTCTGACCGCTATGTGGTACAAAACTTTTATCTTAACACCTTTGAAGGTAAGGCATTTTGGAAGGCTTAGATTGTATGAGATATTTACTTAAAAATGTTAACAAAACTCAAATTTGTCTCCCCACCACTCCATTACTTAATCGCTGTTTGTATTTCTTAGGACTGTATGAACTGGAAGCATCTCTCCCAGATTCTGTCACCCACGTCAAGATTAAAGCTCCAAAACCTAAGTGCACTATCACTAAGACTGGATATGTTAAAAGGTCAGCAAGACTGGAGGTGGACCTGGCACGGATGCACCAGGTATGGAGCTGCATCCAGCAGCATGTCAGTTCCTTTTAGATTTGAACTAATCAGGAAAACGCATTTGTACGTTTTCTCCCAATTTTCTGGGCTAAATTCATATTTCCTGTAAGACAACTTCAAGGACAGAATGAATCAGACATTCAGACTGTTGTAGACATGACCAGCAGCGTTCTGGAACTCAGACTGGAGTACTCTATCTCCCTAACATCTGTGCTTCTGCTCCTACCCTATAGAAAACAAACATAACTGCTTCTGTCTCCCTACAGATTAGGTATTTGGATTGGAACCTGTTGTGTCCATTAGAAATTCTCTCCTGCCATTTGCTGAGTCTCATTTCTCCCTTGGTTTTACAGCACACACGTGGCATGCCTACTGGTTCCACTGTCAAACTACTGATAATTAAATAAACCAAATCTGGATTCATGTTCTAAAAATTCTGTAGATTTTTTAAAAATGTACATCTTAAGTGCATATTGTGAAAACACCTGCAGCAAAGCATGATTAAAATGACCCTGCTCATAGAATCAAATCAGAACAGTGAATGCACATGTTGTTCCCTGTTGTTCCAGCATCTGATTTGCAAAACATGCTAATAGTGTTTTGCATTTCTTGATTTATCACAACTGTTCATGCAGATGAGGTGTCCATATAGGCAATTAACCACCAAGGAAAGAAATCCCTCATTTGCATCTACAATCACAATATTTGTAAATGACACGTACTTTTATAGTATGCTTCTTGTGATGCTGCTGAGGGTTACCTTTCTTTTAAAACGAGGTATACTCTTGGTTGCCTGCTGTATTTCTGAAAAATATTTAATATCATTTGCAAAGCTTGGCAACTTTCAATCATGCTTTTATATAGTGAAGAAATATTTCATAATTGGAAATTATGTGCATGGGTTTCCTGTTGTAGTGTAATTTAACAATACTTTAAACATAGTAACTTTTTTCCTAATTAATTTTAAATTGAAACCTTGTCCTGAAAAATCAATATATTACCTCAAATTTAAATTTAATTGGATTTTGCAAAAGATTGCGTCTGATTTTTATCCAGAAGGAAATTTTTAAAAGAAAATCTTGAGTACTATAGGAAGTGTTCAAGAACTAAGGACATGGATCCACTGCAGTTTTAGAGAAGAAGACACTCAAAAGAGTTTGAGTTTGGGTGCTTTTTGCATAAAATTCAAGTAATGACTGTGCATAATTTAGGTCGAAACACAGTTCTCAGAGGCAGCAGAACATTAGCCCAAGCTTTCAGAGCTCAATTCTTACAGCAAATGTATTCTGTTTGGTCAAAATACTTCTCAAGGCTTGAAAGACTAGATTGGAATGTCTAAAATGTAGCCATGAGGAAGAAGTATGTCCTAGTGCTGGCTGCTCACACAATAAAGGGTCTTCAAAGAAAAATTAGTGGCCAAAGAGAGATGGAATGCAGAACAAAAGCAGACAGGTCTGCCTATTTTCTGTTTTAAATCAATGTAGATCACTTTGTCTACATTGATTTATACCAACTAAGGGGCTAACAGAACTAATACTCATTCCCCCACCACAGAAAGGCAAAATGTATATTCTTTTAAAATCACAAAGCGTTTCCTTTGCAGACAAGGATGATAAATACACTATGCAAAAATTGACTGCTGCTCCTAGATATACAGAAGAAGACACAAGACTGGTTGGTCCAGACAAGCAGAAAATATGGACACTGTGAAACACCCAGACTTCCTCAGCCACTGTTAGATTTAAACAAACTTTCTGTTCCAAGCAACAAGAAATTATTGCCCTACTTAGCGCTTGAGCTCTGTGGTACTGTTACTGTTCACTTCTCCCATAGGAGGTTTTTGCTTGTTAGGTTTGGAGACTATAGCATGTTCTGCCTCAGCAGGGCCTCTCTTGACAGGTCCATCTCATAAGCTACTGGAGCTGGCAAGAACAGGGCAGTAAAGGGTGCGGAACACTTGACTTAGGAGAATTTAGCACTTGACAAGACAGCTGTCTGACCACTTGGCACAGGCAGTCCCAATCATGCGAACAACCTCCATCACACACATTGTGAAAGAAAGAGGTTTAGGTAATTAGCAATCATAGGAGGGCACTGTGTTACTTTGCATTATTCTATAGCTGAGCAGGTAGATCACTTTTTAAAAGCTTCTTTTTAGTGCTGTCCAAGCACACTTAATGCATTTCCTCCTATAAACGTAGAAATACAACAGAACTCTAGAAAATTCAGACTACACAGTGATCTAGCTCTAGAATGACTTTCTTTCATTTTCCCTGGATAATCTGTAGAAAGAGGTTGCGGGTAGAGGAGAAATGCTAGATTTTGGCCTCAGTAGTAATTTATTTTAATAAAGGAAGTTTCCAAAGCTTGCTTTTCTGGCCAAGCAAGTGGCAAGATGGACTAGTCCTCCTCATTATGTTGCTCTTGGTTTGCCAGAGAAGACCCAGGCCAGTCAGTCTCACCCCTGTGCCTGTCAAGGTCATGGAGCAAATCCTCCTCAAAGCTATGCTAAGGCACATGGAAAATAAGAAGGTGATTGGTGACAACCAACACAGTTTCACTAAGGGCAAATTGTGCTGGTGGCCCTCTCTATAATGGGGTTACAGCACAGGTGGATAAGGGAAGAGCAACTGTTGTAGTCTCCCTGGACTTGTACAAAGTGTATGACACTGTCCTGCACAGCATCCTTGTCTCTAAATTGGAGAGACATGGTCTTAACTGATGGAGCACTCAGTGGGTAAAGAGTTGGCTGGGTGGTCACACTCAAAAGAGTTAGAGTCAACAGCTTGATGAACAAGTGGAGTTCAGTGACAAGTGATGTTCCTCAGTGGTTTGCAGGGGGACTGGTGCTGTTTAACATCTTCATCAGTGACATGGACAGTGGGGTTGAGTGCACCCTTAGCAAGTTGGGCAACACCACCAAGCTGTGTGGTGCGGTCAACACGCTGGAGGAAAGTGATGCCATACAGAGGGACCTTGAGAGGCTTGAGACGTGGGCCTGTGCAAAGCACATGAAGTTTAACACGGACAAGTGCAAGGTCCTGCACCTGGGTTGGGGCAATCCCAAGCAGAAATACAGGCTGGGCAAAGAACGGACTGAGAACAGCCCTGAGGAGAAGGACTTGGAGGTGCTGGGTGCTGGGGCGCTCAACATGAGCCAGCAGTGTGCGCTTGCAGCCCAGAGAGCCAACCATGTCTGAGGCTGCATCCAAAAATGCGCTTGCAGCCCAGAGAGCCAACCATGTCTCAGGCTGCATCCAAAAAAGCATGGCCAGCAGGTCAAGAGAGGTGATTCTTTCCCTCTACTCTGCTTTTGTGAGACCCCACCTGCAGCATTGTGTCCAGTTCTGGAGCCCCCAATACAGGAAGGACATGGAACTCTTGGAGGGAGTCCAGAGCAGGGCCACGAAGATGATCTGAGGGCTGGAGCACCTCTCCATGAAGACAGGCTGAGAGAGTTGGGGTTGTTCAGCCTGAAGAAGAGAAGACTTGAAGGGGCTACAGGAAAGCTGGGGAGGGACTTTTTACAAGAGCATGTAGGGGAAACAGTTTTAAGTTGAGAAGAGGATATATTTAGGTTCAACATTAGGAAGGAATTATTCACTGTGAGGATGGTGAGACACTCTCCCAGCTTGCCCAGGGAAGTTGTGGCTGTCCCCTCTCTGGAAGTGTTCAAGGCCAGGTTGAATTGGGTTTGGAGCAGCATGGTCTAGTGGGAATTGTCCCTGCCCATGCAATGAGGGTTGGATCTAGATGATCTATAAGGTCCCTTCCGATCCAAATAATTCTATGATTCTATGATACTGAGGGTTTTTCCTAAGCTTAAAGCTTGTAAGAGGGGTTGAGCAGTTATCCAAGCAGCTACAAAAAGTATCTGTGTCATCTTAAGTATAAAAACAGCTTCTTCCAGACTTGAAACTAAGCCAAAAATGAGTTATTTTAAAGCAAACTTTTTGAGGATCATCCTGAAACATTTTATGTATATTTATGTACATACATGCATATTATGTACATTCAGTATTCTTTCAATAATTCTCTAAAACAAGAGAACATGGCTGAAACAGGAGTGACCCAGACTTTACAGTAAAAACAACTATCTTCATCTTAAGCCAGAGCTGTAGAGTGACAAGGAAAGTTTCTAGCCAGTGCAGATGACACTGCTTTAAGGAGTGTTAAGTGAGCCTTTGTGTAGACAGTCTTGTGTGAAAATCTGAGCCAATAGGAGATAGCATAGTGATATAACTAGTTACTATTAGAAAATAAATGCATCTAGGCAACTGAATACACCAAGGAATGAAGGAGCTGCTGAAGAAATCTCAGTGCAGAACAATGCCTGACTTTAGACTGACCCTGTATGCTCTAATGACTCAAGCAGGGTGAAGTGTCAGTTGGTTTCAAAGTGCTGGATCAAGATGATGTCAGAATAAGGAATCTCTCACCTAAGCATTAAGTACAACTCTCATCATGTCTGTTTTCTTTTATCCAGTTGGATAGGAAAGAGGTGGAGAAGTAGGGGGCCCAAGAATGTTTCTGGAGAAAATCTGCCAACTTCAAAGCATAGGAAAACCTGTTCAAGCAGTTATTTCATCAAGAGCAGATCTCCAGCACAGTGTTAGTTGGCTTACGCTCAGACAAGCTTTAAGAGCTATTATGTCAGTCTGGATCAGCCAAGATGCAGCAGCCATGCTGCATTGCAAAGTAGGTCTGGATAATCTCAACTTCTTCATTCACAGGCAAAAAGGAAGAAGGAGAAATGTGACTGTATAGTCTGTGCTGTACATGAAAATAAATTACACCTAGTGTCTTGTGAAAAGGAGAGCATCACAGAGGAGAAAAGGGAGGAAGCTAAAAAAGGGTTTATTTGAATGGAGAGTTGTTTTTCAAGCTACTATCCTGTCAAAAGTTCTGCTTCTATCAGAAGCTAGCAAATAAGCTAAAGTGTATGGCCAAAAGCATGAGTGCCATTTGCTGTTCACTGTATTTGCCAGGAAAATGAAAAGGAGCTTAATTGGGTGGTCCCATTGAACCAGACTGTGCTATTACCCTGAAGTTACAACCTGAAAAAAAGTAATGTAGTCTGTCTCAGGAAAATTAGAGTGTCATGTGTAGGCAGTAACATTTGAATTATGTTGTTCAGAAACTTAGCACTTTTTTTCTTTTTAAATAAAGTATTTTACAATGATTCTTGGGCCCTAGTTTCCATATTTTGAAAAATGGTAACTCACTAAGTTAGGCACAACCAGTTAATGCAAAAAAAAGATTTTCTTTTTCTTCTCTTACATTAAAGTCTTACAATAACTTTAAACCTCAGATTAAAGAAAGGAAATGGTAAGCATTTTTGACTTAGTAATGATAGCAAAGCAGGCACTAGACTGTGCTGACATGAAAAAGTAAAACCACTTCTGGGAACTGCAGTATCTCTCAAATCTACATTAATAACAATTCCCTCTTGTCAGAAGTGCTCAATAGATGCTTCTGTCTTTACAAGTTGTTATCTTGGTTGTATTTTGTTTTTCTGGTTAGCAAGAAGTATTTTTGGAAGCTAAGGTTTTATTAGAAAAATTCTCATGAATGCAATATTGTACTAGTAAACATAGGAGCTATTGTTTTCAAAAGAATCACAATTACAGCAGCTTTTTTCTTTCAATTGCCCCTTCCCCCCCAACATGCAAAACACCTTATAAATAGCAAGCACTGTTAAAATCTTCACACCAGAGAGCTCTAAGGTTGTCAAATACAAGAAACAGTTTGGAAAATCTCTCACCATTTTTAAGCTATAACAATTCCACGTGGCTTATAAGCAGTTTATAGGCTTTGATTCTTGCATTATTATTGTTAACTTGGTCCATTTCAGAAGTTTTTGATAATGAAGCATTTTATCCCCTCCACCTAGAAATCTCTCTCCTTTTCTGAAGGCATTAATTATCCTGGCCTGAAAGGTCAGATCAAATATGCAAGAAGAGTTTTGTACAATGACCCCTGGAGTTTCAAAACTTCATTAATTTTACAATTAAATTCTGTGTAAGTGCTGTCAATGTCCTGTTACTGGATAGAGACATTTATCATAGGACTTTTTTCTGAAGTTTTTCTTTGGTTTCCCTCCCTAGTGAAATACAGTATTTTAGGGAGCAAGAAAAGAAAAAGGAGCATTTTTCCTTGCTGGAATATGTCTGTTCTTTCAGTAAGACTACAGATCCAACCCAGACAGTAGTAGGATTATAATTTTGAAGGAGCTTTAAATGTGCATACTCTATTCCCTTTTCTTGGTGAACCAAAGTGTGAGGCCCTACAGTAGGCAGGTCTTGCCATGCAGTTGGAAATTATTATCTTGTTCCAAGTAGCTTGCCATGGGCAGTTGGCAGGACTTTGGCTCTCTAAACAGTTTGAAAATATCTTGAAAGAGTTGAGGCTGCAATGGCATTTCCACTCCTTGCCTTCTTTGGCTGACATAGTTTGTCATCTGCCTCCAAACAGCTACAAGGTCAACAAGATAAAACCCACTCTTAATGGACTTCTGGATTTTCTTGGTAGGAGGAAGTTCTCAAGCAAGTCCATTTTCACAAATGGCTGTGGATGCCACGGGGCTGCTGGGCAGTTGCAGATGAGCAGAGAAGAGTTTAAAAAATGTTTTGCAAGGAACAGCTCCTGGATCATTCAGTTTAACACAGTAGCAACATATGATACAAAGATATTTCACTAAGGAAGGGCCACAGAACAGTGACACTACACTCTTCAAGTGACCCCCTTCATAAAATCTCCTGGCCACATAATATTTCTAACCTGCAGTAACAAGCATTATGCCTATAGTTAAAGGCAAAGAGCTATAACCATTCTCAGTGATATGTAAACCGTAAATAAATGGTGGTATTCCTATTCATTTTTATATTTTGGAAGAATCTTACCTCTATCTTGTAGGAAAATAATTAATGTTTTTGTCATTACGTAAGGAAAGTAACACACACACACCTGCCTCTGTTTGCATTTGGGTCAGTGTTTAATTGGTTTGACAAGATTCCCATTTTAAAATTTAAAAAATAGTACAGTTTTTAAAAATAATGTATTAGAGAATAACTTCATACCAATTTTTTATCAATTGTAGGTGACTTACTATGAAATTGCCAATGGCTTATTTGTAAATAAAGTAAAATAACTGTGTCTTCCTTCTTAAAAATTATATTGAAATTCTTAACGGTGTCTTCTGACCAACCAATAGCCTCATCTAGTGATGACATTCAGTTTTTCGGTCCATGTGCAATAAGAAATGGAAGCCATAAGCCTGCAAAGTGCAAAATACTTTCAGCTCCCCATAGTCCATGTGACCAGCAACAGTCAAGTCAGCATCTAGAGGACTGTCCTTATTGTGTTGTTCTATCTACCCCAGTTCTGGTTAAATTGTATGTCTCTTCCAGGCACTGCTAGAGAAGAAGAACAAAGTCAAGGAGCCAAAGAAGGCCCTTCGTCTCCTTGAAAAAATAGAAAAGCCTGTTCCTCGGCCCCTCACTCCAATCCTAGAAGGGCCATCAATTGTAAGTGGGTTTTAGAATTTATTTTTTTTTTTTTTCTGTTGATCCCTGAGTATTTCCTACATGGTTGTTAAAGGAATGTCCGGAGAAGGAAAGAAGTGAGCTTTATCTTTTTTTGCATATATTCACGTTAGAAACAGCCATCACTATTTCTTAAGACTCTCTTAGTCTGCCTTTATTCTATAAAGACACTAGCAGATGGAGAATTGGAAATGTTTTAAAATATCCTTGGCCAAATCCTTAAATAAACTTTGTTTTATAAAGACATTAGTTAGTAGACATGTTATGCCCTTGTTCTTGCTGAACAAAAAATGCAGAATATTGTTGTTGTTATTATTTCTTATTATCATTATCATTACATTAGTGTTTTCCAGCCTTCTCATCTGACAACACTGTCATAATCCAGCAGAGCCATTAAGTTTAGCCCCACTAAAGTCAGTGAGACTTTGAGTGCTCAGCACTGAGCACACACTTCATCAATTTGGTGAAGTGAAGCTCTTGTCATCACGGAGGTTGCAGCCTTTGATGAGCGTGCTCCAGTTCACAGAAAATTATTCTTCTGCAGAGACTGAAATAGCAGTAATGATGTGTCATGGGGGATGTGATGTGCTGTAGGAAAAAACAGCTTTTTAGAGGAGCTGCAAGTTCTTTTCCTTTCATGAAGTAATGTACTTAAGAGGTGGTTGCCCCAGTGGATTGCTTTATCTGCTTATTAACAGCATTTTCATGATGTAGTAAGAATCAGACACAATTACCATTTAAGCTTGTGAATTTAAAAGAGCCACACAACCATGAAAGGGAGAAAAAGTCTTACTAGATCATCCATGCTGTCTTCCCTTGTGCGGTGTGACGTCCTGTGTTTTGTGCAGTCTGTTTTAAGATGACTGAAACAAGAAACTCTCCTGGGGAAGGGCTTTCCACAGCTTTACTGACTCCGAGGTGTTAGATATTGTATTGCAATGGTAGGTTGACATCATTTAGATTTACCAGTTTAGCAGATTTTTAAGTACTTCCATGTAATATGGGAATAAATCAGAAAAAGTTATCCCCAAGTTGTTGTTATTCTTGAGCATGCTTACGTAAAGAATTCCAATACAATGGAATTCCACCTAAATGAATTCTGCCAATTCTGGTTTATCTTCAAGTATCTTTATGTGTGAACACATAAAAGAGTGGAGCTCTTTAGTTAAGCTGCATCTGTAAAATTAGGCCACTTCAGCTGCTGAAGAGCAGCACAAACATCTCCTGCCTTGCAGAATCCAAGTAAGGTTTCTCCTACCAGCAGGCTGTGAGGAGCATTGAATTTGAAGCTCTCCTCTGTTGTTAATGCTACTCTTCCTGCCATACACAGATACAAATACCAACTGCTAAGTGCACCAGCCTCCTCCTGCTCCAGTTGAGGATCTCAAAAGCAAAGTATGATAGAGTGACAGTCTGGTGACATGGACAACAAAGGGATATAAAAGAAAGTGGAGAGAATAGAAGCACTATCACAGGCCTCCTCAGTTTCTCTACTCCAATAATTTCTTAGGCACCTACTAGCCACAACAACAGAGTGCCTCTGAATTCCTTCACTGGTTTATCACTTTCCTCCAGCCCCCTCTAGTTTTCAACCTGCTCCTAGATTCTTCTATATCCTCAATTCCTTTGTGTTCTTTCTTTTTCTTTTTCTTGCAAGTCATGATAGGCTTTCTGTCTCGCCTCGCTCTTTCCTGCTGCTCTCCCTGCTCATCAGGCAGACAGAGAAGCTGATGATGATTACCCTTGCTAAGGCATTATTTGTAACAGTGAATGATACAAGTACAGAAAATTGCATCCCACAAAAATTTAAGCCACATCTTAGTTTAAATCAAACTTAGCAGTTTGGCTTACCTGTCCAGTATATGTACCATCTCCATTTCCAAAACTCTGTCCTGAAGGGGTTTAATGTGTAACCACATGATGTGGTACAGTCTAGCTCTCTAACTGGACTGAAAAATTCATCCCCTCTTTCCAGAGAACATACCAAATCATAAGGCAGTCCTTTAGCTAGTTCTGCTTTGCTCCTCCTGGATGGTGGTGTGGAAAGGCAGGAATACTTCCTTTTGCTTTTGGAAAAAATAGTTTGCAACACCTAAGAAAAAACAGATACTAAGTTTCAAGCCCACACCACTTCTCTCATCCCACGCTCTTC